CCCACTGCCCCAGCATGTGACAGCAAAAAAGAGCGTGCTAGCAACAACTGACTCATAAAACATCCTCAGCATTGTCCCACAGATGTTAAAGGACTTCAGCCTCCTCAGGAAGAATAGTCGGCTTTACCCCTTTTTGTAAACCGCTTCGGTGTTTCTAGTCCAGTCCAACTTATTGTTAAAGTACTCCCAGGTACTTATACTCCTCCACAGTGTCAACGGGAACCCCCTGGATGGAAACAGCGGCCACAGGTGTTTTTGTCCTCCTCAGATGAAGGTGAAAGCAGACAAGCAACCAGCAAGGTGGAACCAATCCAGTTCCCAACAGTCTAAGTCTTAAACCACACTGAGCCATTGTCCAAAAAAACGGAAAAACCTGACAGAGGTTTCTGGCCTACCCAAACTCCTCCAGGAGTTCCTGCAGAATGTTAGAAAAACAACCAGAGACAGTAGTAACCAGTTGAATCTACATTAAAAAAAAAAGGAGTTTTCTGCATCATACTTTTTACCTTCACTTAAGTAATATAATTTGAAGTTCTAGTCAGGGATGATAGTGAGCTGGAAAAGTACCAGAAAAAGATTTAGGGGCAGCACGCAGCTCCAGGAAACCCCTGATGCCCGATATTTTGTGCCACCAACTTTAGTGCAGAGTTACTGATCGGAGCGTGCAGTGAGGGCCGGTCTGCTGTGATTAAATATCAAACATCCTCTTTCAGTACATCTCTGATGCTTGCTCAACTCTTACAATCTCTACTCCAGCTGTGAAATCCATCTTTGAACGTATTTACAATAGCTCTGTGGTTTGTTCTTCCAACATTTCATCTCTGCGCTCGCTAGTTAATAAACTATACATGGCTAACCAGCATCTGCTAAGTATAAACTTTCAGGGTTTTATTTCTTCCAGCCCATGAGAGGTGATGCAAATCCTTCTCTACTTGATTTCAAAAGAATCATTAAATTACACCCACAATTAATAATTTATTATCATATTTTTTCTATTTTTAAATAAAGACACAGATGGAAAGGAACATAAAATATATTTGATTATTTCTCTTCCATAATTCTTCTGTTTTTATCAATTTGGATATGATATAAAAGTTTCCTTCTATGGTCATAAAATGTTTTATTTTCTTTGAATATTGTAACATTTATCCAACAGCTCTGGATTGTGACAGCATTATAAGGTGGTGTTTGTTGTTCTGTGTGCCTTTTTTTTCTTTATATCAAGCCCACGTGAATTTCTTCAAAAAACTTAAGCAGATGTCATGAGTGAAACTTTTATAACCAAAAGTTTAACTGATAATCCTTTCTATATCTTTCTTTCAACAAAGAGTTCTGTGGGTGTTGCATCAGCCTAAGTTTAGCTAAAAAAAACTATGATCCCAGTTAAGTTCATTGGCAATAAAGACAGTTCCATCTACAATAGGATATGAATAAATGGTAAGAGGGTATATATATATATATATATATATATATATATATATATATATATATATATATATATATATA